CCTCACGAAGCGACTGCCACGCCAGCAGTATCAGCACTGTTCCGAACTCAGCGGCGTGGTCAAGCAGGTCAAGTCGAGCTACGGCCAGGAGTGAAGGGGGGTGTTACGAATAGTAATACTTGATATTACTGTGCACTCCTCACCGCAGCAAGAGAAGCACGCAGTATCGGGAATGAACGCGAAGCGTCAGACGGTTGGAATTGAATCGAAGCGTCGGACGGTTACAGCACATCTGGACCGTCGGAGCAGACGGCATCGGGCAGCTGCAGGCAGGATGGTTTTAGCGAGAACAGTTACGAAACTGTACGCGCCGCACGGTTGGAGATGCATTTGAATGAGGGAACGTACCCCTTAGAGTACATGGCTAGCTAGATCGTTTCGTATTCCCTGTACTCTTATTTATATCGATGTATTTGCATGTTTTTGTCATCTCAAGCATTTTACATTCACTCTGCTATTGAGGTCAAGGGCCCACCAACACTTCTTTACTGCGTGCGAACCTTCCTGAGTAGATCCTGGGCTACGATCAACTTCTGATCGCAGCAGTTATGAACCTGTAGGGAACCAGACTCCGATATAAACAAGACACCTATATCACTTCATCTGTAGCTCAATTGCATTTTTTTATAAGTGAAAAGTGAAACATGCTAATATCGGATTACATTTCAGTGTTTCTTGTGAAACCATCTACCCGTCTCAAAATCGTAGGTGCAAATCATAGGTCACTCAGCAGCAGCGCAAAGACCGGCGCGCATGCAAAGGCATGTAGTTCTTGCTGGACTCGGAACCCACTATTTTTCAGGCGCCTTCTTACCGTATGTTTTATTGCCACGTGTTGCCTATTATACTCTTTTCGATCGAGCCGCCGCCAACGCATGTAGCGCAAGGCATATCTCCGACTAAGGCCAATCGCGCTTGCATGCACCGTCGTCGAGTCGCTCAGGTTTCAACGAATCGGAAATGGCTATCAGAGATGTTCCTTTTTGTCAGAATCCAAGCCACTAACCACTGGGATGAAAGTGTCAGAATCCCAGCCACTAACCACTGGGATAAAAGGGCTTGTTTATATAGCGGGTGAGTGCGCCCATAACCCCCCAGGCCAACATGCCTGTAACCCTTCCCTAGGATCATCGGGGATCTCCAGTGGACCTCTGACACCCCCCCGCACTGGGATGCCCGAAGTGCACACACCGGGAATCGAACCCGAGACCTTCGCTCTGATACCATGTCAGAATCCCAGCCACTAACCACTGGGATAAAAGGGCTTATTTGTGTAGCGGGTGAGTGCGCCCATAACCCCCCAGGCCGACATGCCTGTAACCCTTCCCTAGGATCATCGGGGATCTCCAGTGGACCTCTGACAGAAAGGGCTTTTTTTGTGTAGCGGGTGAGTGCGCCCATAACCCCCAGGCCAACGTGCTTGTTACCCTTCCCTAGGATCAATCGGGGATCTCCAGTGGACCTCTGACACCCCCCCGCACTGGGATGCCCGAGGTGCACACACCGGGAATCGAACCCGATGTCAGAACTAGCTGTAGAAAGTAAGAATGAAGAAAGGAGGGTTTGCACTAGCAACAATGGTGGTACAAATAGCTAACCCTAGAAGGGTTGTACTCGCTATAGAGCACCCCACTGCAGGCTAGAGCATAATATTCTGACACACCCCCATAGTCAAAGTGGGGTGTAATCAGCAGAGCAAGCAAAGTAGTACAAGCTCAGGGTGGATCACGATGTCACCACACATTCTGAGCACAAGCAAGAAGCAATAGTTTAAGGTTCACAATTATGAGCAAAGCTAGAGGCAGTCACAGGGGGCAAGTGAGGAGGAGGAGGGCTGGTGAGAGGAGAGTAGATAGGAGGCGACGACTGAAGATGCAGACACACGGGCAACAGACGGCTCTGGTGCGACAACGTGGCTACCGGGAATGAGTGCCCCGGAGTACAGGAGTAACAGGCTCCGCGGCTAATATGCGCGGCAGGAGCAACGGACCCACAGGCGACGGCGCAACCGGCTCTCTGAGCTACCGGGAATGAGTGCCCCGGAGTACAGGCGCTGCGTACGACACGACGGCAACCTCCGCTCAACCTCCCCCAACAGTCCCACATCCCTCGACACACACCCCCTGCTGCGCCCCTAGCTCCACTCCCCCTTCACCCCCCTAGGACCACTCCTTCGGCTCCCCACACAACCACCCCCCTGAGCGGCAGCTGCAGCAGCGGGAGACGGAGGAGGAGGAGAAGGAGGGGACGGGGCACACAACCGGCACCCCCACACCCGCCACCCCCACACTCCACATCCCCAAACCCTAAAACGGGTGGGATAGGGGCAGGAGCGCGGGGGACGGCGAGAGGGGGACGGACGAGGCGCGCGCAGGCTGCCCGCGCCGCGCGCTGGCCTGGCGCAGCCCGTACGGGCCGCGCGCGGGCCTGGCGCAGCCCGTACGGGCCGCGCGCGGGCCTGGCGCAGCCCGTACGGGCCGCGCGCGGGCCTGGCGCAGCCCGTACGGGCCGCGCGCGGGTCCCAGGGGCGCTTCGACGGGCGACGGGGGCGTTTTGGCGGGCGACGGGGGGCGCTCCGACGGGCGACGGGGGCGCTTCGACGGGCGACGGGGGGAGGGCGCTTCGACGGGCGACGGGGGGCACTTCGACGGTGGGAAACCGCCGCGCGCCTCGGGGCGCACGGCGGGCAGAAAACCGCCGCGCGCCCCGAGCGCACGGCGGGATGAAAACCGCCGAAACCCTAAAAACGCCGCGCCTTGCGAGCGCGCAGTAGGCAGAAAACGTCGCGCGCCCGAGGCGCGCGATAAGCAGGACAGCAGCGGAAGCATTAGGTGGCGGGCCCACCCACAGGATCGACCCAGGAGGGTCGACCTGCTCTGATACCATGTCAGAACTAGCTGTAGAAAGTAAGAATGAAGAAAGGAGGGTTTGCACTAGCAACAATGGTGGTACAAATAGCTAACCCTAGAAGGGTTGTACTCGCTATAGAGCACCCCACTGCAGGCTAGAGCATAATATTCTGACACCCAAGACCTTCGCTCTGATACCATGTCAGAATCCTAGCCACTAACCACTGGGATAAAAGGGCTTTTTTTGTGTAGCGGGTGAGTGCGCCCATAACCCCCCAGGCCAACGTGCCTGTAACCCTTCCTAGGATCAATCGGGGATCTCCAGTGGACCTCTGACACTTTTCCCGCCGCTAAGTTCGCGAAAGATCGTCGCAGCAGTCGTCGCAAGCACTGGGATGGAGCTCAGAACGACACGCGACGTACTGGCGTCTCCGCAGCACGATGCTTCGGCAGACCCGTTGTAAGGACGTTAGAACATCGAGGGTCGTCGAGTCGACTTGGACCTTCGTTGCGGATTGCTCGACTCTAGCTCGAAATTTGCTCGGTCTTCGCCCTCTGAGCTTATGCGTCACCTAGTAGAGCTGCGCGTTACTGAGCCTATGCGTCTGTTTTCCGTCGAAGCGCGAAACCCTAAGAATGGCCGCCGCTACGCAGACTTCTCTTGAGGCTCCTCAAAATACGACTAGTCTGACTTCCGAGAGCCATGAATCTTACGGCTCGTTTCAGGCAAGCCCTGAAGCCTCAGACCCAGGGCACCACAAGCAAGCTGGGGATGTTCAAGCTTAACACGTTGAGCATAGTGGTGGCTCCGGGTCCGAAGCCGGGTCCGAAGCCGTCACGCCGCCTGTACTGCCAGCACCGGCAGTGAAGGCGCCACCCTATGGCGCGTATTCGTAGGGGGGGTATTGGGAGTGGCACACGGGCCTCGGGGGGGGCTTCGGCGTCAACGTGGCACACGGGCCTGTGCAGCTGCTGCAACAACAACGATACAGCGAATGGTTACGATTGCACAATCTGTACGTTTCGTCACTTGCTTTTCCTGCTGCAACAACAACGATACAGCGAATGGTTACGATTGCACAATCTGTACGTTTCGTCACTTGCTTTTCCTATTTCCTAGTCTATTTCTTTTTCTCGCTCGCTTTTGTTCCTTTGTTCGTGGCTCCGTTCTTACCAGTGCGTATGCCCTTTTGTTTCCCATATCGCAGGCTGCCTGGGTTTGTTTTGCCCGTGTTGGCTATTCGGCATAAACCGAGAAATGCTGACAGGCGATGAGAGCCAGTGCTGTCTCTGCTGCTGCGCCTTTTTTCTCGTGAATCTTGTTGTTGATCAACTTGTGAGGACTGGGTATCCTGCTGCGACCATATTGCTCCCTTTGTTCACGTCGATTTTTTCACGAACAGAGATTCGAAAAAGATACGGCATACAGGTGCGTTTCTCGTTTGGTTTCAGCGTGATTTCTCAACATTGTCTTATTCTTGTTCCCGGGGTCTCTTGAGGGACAACTTACCGTAAGGTTCTGGCATCAATCTACCGTCCGGCTATTATTTCTTTTTCCAGTGCTGATGTTTACTTCAAAATAACCGGAAAAAGGATGGCTGGACAAGACAGGCTCTCTGTTAATAAATTTCTTCTGTGGGCCTGTTTTTGCTTTACAGAGTGAGGCGGAATTCCTTAATCAGCAACCATTGTGCGAGAGGGTGTGGGATTGCTGCATCCACGCCTTGTGCCTGCAATGTGCTCTTTGCCAGGAGTCTCGCGAGCTTATGCGTAGAACTACTGCTGGAAAGGGAGTGTATCCCTTGGAGAAGCCTACTGTAGCTCCTCTGACACAGAGAATCGAGAGGAATGGGGATGATTAGAAGAGAAGTGGGTACAAGTAGGAAACCCTAGAAGTGTTGTACCCTTTAGTGTCTACCCCACTAGAGCCTAAATATACAATGTCATATAAGTTTGACACACCCCCATAGGCAAAGTGGGGAAGACCTAAAGGCCACAAGACCAGTCAAGCAAAGCAAGCTCAGGGTGGATCACAACGTCACCACACATTCCGAGCACAGGTTCAAGGCCACAAGGCCAGTTCACATGCACGATTATATATAAAGGGAAACAAGCAAGAGCAGGTATATATAAGACACAGTACAAGCAAGGTCAAGAGTTCAGTAGGTGAGGCCAGGTAGGCACAAGACCTAACATCGTACAAAAGCGCTGATGATCACAAGGCTGGAGTGCCTTGGTAAAGATATCAGCAGTGTTGGCCTGAGAGGCCACGTAAGCAAGGCGCAGCTGTCCACGCTGCTGCAGCTCACGAGCAAGGAAGTAGCGAAGAGCGATGTGCTTCGTTTTGTGCTCCAGTCTGTGCTCCCGACACAAGGCCAGCATGGCCTTGTTGTCTACGTACAGAACTGGAGGAGAACGAGGCGGCTCTCCCAGGTCAGTCAGCAGGTAGGTGAGCCAGCGTAACTCCTGTGCAGCCATGGCTCCTGCGTAGATCTCAGCCTCACAGCTGGAGCTGAGAACAGACGACGAGCGGGTAGACCGCCACGAAACAGAGCCGGAACCAAGGCTGAATGTGTAACCCTGTGACGACCGCTGCGTAGCCAGGTCGTCAACCCAAGACGCGTCTGCGTGACCAGTGAGGACCACTGGACTCTGCCCTCCAAGCACTAGCCCCATGCCCGACGTACTGCACAAGTAGCGCAACACCCTCTTCGCTGCAGCCATGTGCTCTGATCGGTATCTCCCAGGAGCAACATAGCGTGCCAAGATGCTAAGAGGGTATGCAAGGTCAGGTCGTGTGCAGGTCATCAGGTACATGAGGCAGCCAACAAGCTCTGGGTACGGGCCACTCGGCTCTACGGACTCATCCGAAGGCAGAGCTGAGAGCGAGTGGCGAGTAGACAGAGGAGTGGCCTGAGGCGAGGAGTACGTGAAGTCGAAGCGCTGAAGGACCTGCTGCACCATGTGTGCTCGAGACAGTGTAATGGTGCGTCGTGCTCTGTCCCGGGTGATCTGCAAGCCGAGGTAGCTGCTAAGTTCACCCAGGTCTGTGCATGTGTGTCTCTTCTGCAGCTCGGACTTCACGTGGGCGAGTCCAGCAGTGTCAGCTGTAGCAAAGACCAAGTCGTCGACGTACACGAGGATGTAGAACGGCGGCAAAGAGGTGTCGGTGCGTAGAAACAGCGACAGGTCAGCAGTAGAAGGAGCAAACCCAAGAGCCGCAAGCGTAGTCCTCAGTGTGTCGTGCCACTCACGGGGCGCCTGGCGGAGACCGTAGACTGGCCGCCGGAGGCTCCACTGGGTACCAGGAGGAAACGACCCAGTGAAGCCAGGTGGGCGGCGCAGCCAGATCTCCTCATGCAGGCTGCCCTGTAGGAAAGATGTGCTGAAGTCAAGAGAGTGAAGCTCGTAGTCACGGTGAGCGGCTATGTGCAGCAGCACCCGAAGAGTGGTCATCTTCGGGGTGGGAGAGAAGGTCTGAAAGTAGTCAACTCCCTGCCGCTGACTGAAGCCTCGAGCCACGTAACGCGCCTTGAAGACAGGCGGAGAACCCGGCGGCCGCTTCACCCTGAAAATCCACATGCCACTGACGATGTTCGCCCCAGGTGGGGGAACCTCGTCAACGTAGGTGCCTGTGGACTTCTAGGAAGCCATCTCTGCGTCCATGGCTGCCTGCCACTGAGAGGAGTAGGGACCCTCTATCGCCTCCGCGTAAGAGCGCGGAGTCGGGATGTCTGGTGCATCCGGGTCTCCCTCAGGGGCAAGCAGCGAGGACACAAGATGAGGTAAAGCAGCAGCAAGACACTGGAACTCCTCCTGCCTGTCCTCAAGGACGTCCGTGCTAAGAGCACACTCACCCCCGACGAACGGAGGACAGACAGACTCAGACTCAGCAACAAGACTAGCGGCGTAGTCTAGACGACAGGCAGCAGCAAAGTCAACAAGCTCAGCAACCAAGGCAGACGCAGCAGTAGACTTAAACGACGGGTCAGTGACAACAGTGGCTAACAGACGCGTGACAGTAGGGTGCGCAATACGAAACCTCTCAGACTCAGGGTCCGGAACGACAGGCAGAGAGGACGCAGGGGGGGACGGCAGAGGAGCAGACTGCGAAGCAGAAAAAGGACAACGGACTACGAGGTGTGCACTGGGGACAGCCGGCTGACGCGCACGAGAAACACGACGACCGGTACGACCAGAACGAATAGGCGAGACAGGACGCGACGCAGGCTCAGCAAGACTACCTGTCTGCTCAGTGTAAGGAGAGGGAGCAGGCAGTGGGGAGTCAGGCTGTAACGGAAGACCAGTAGACGACGGGAGAGTAAGAACCTGACGAAGAACAGAGTCAGGCTGCGGCAGAGACGACGGAGACGGCGGAGCGAAGAACAGTCGTGTCGGCACAGCTGCACCAGTACCGGCAGCTCCAGCAGCTCCAGCACCTCCAGTAGCTCTAAAAGCTTCAGCCTCAGAACCGGCACCTCCAGTGCCAGCACCGCCAGAACCAGCGTCACCAGCAGCAGCACCCCCAGAACCGGCACCTCCAGCCCCAGGGTCTCCAACCGCAGTGTCTCCCGTAGCAGCACCCCCAGAACCAGCACCTCCAGTCCCAGGGTCTCCAGCCTCAGTGTCTCCAGCAGCGGCACCTCCAGACGTAGCACCTCCAGCCCCAGCAGCTCCAGTACCTCCAGCAGCAGAGCCCCGGGCTCCAGCAGCGCGACCCTGACGGCGACCGTACCAGTCGTGCAGCTGCTGTGAGGTGAGAGGCACACGCGGACGAAGGCGGCCACTCCAAGTAGGCCGCGCACCAGCAGTCCCAGTACCCTCAGACGGCTCACCTCCAGACACAGTACCCCCAGACTCCGCACACACAGGCTCAGCACCCCCAGACACAGCACCCCCAGGCGCAGGACCTCCAGTCTCCTCACGCGCAGGCTCAGCACCCCCAGACTCTGCATCCCCAGACTCAGCACCCCCAAGAGCACCACCCCCAACAGCACCAGAGTCAACAGTAACCGGCTGCAGAGGCGGCGAAGAAGGCCACGGAGGGAAACCCGGAGGGGTCTCCAAGCGTGGTGTGCGGCGGTAGGCCGCCGGGGCGTCAGCAGCAACGTCACCCCCCTCAGGTGGGCCAGAGGTGTCGGAAGTGACCTCCAAAGGCTCAGCCAAGGGGGGGGGGGGTCTACCTGAGACACACCTGAAGGAGCAGGACCCTGAGGGGGGAGGGGGTCTACCAGAGGGGGACCTGGAGCGAGGAAGAGCGGCGGGGGGGGGGAGCGGGGCAGCACGGTAGGGGAAGAGACAGTAGTACGGAACCGACTCGTCAAACGTGACGTCCTGGGAGGACAGAACACGGCGCGAGGTGGGGTGGTAAAACTGCCAACCAGGCGCGTCAGGGGGGAAGCCAAGGAAGACGCAGGGAACAGCACGGGAGGACAGCTTGTCCGTAGACAAGTCTCGGACAAAAGCCCGAGATCCCCAGACACGGAACGCAGACGCATCGCCAACCTTCCCCGTCCACCGCAGAGTGGGGGAGGTGTCCGGCATGGAGACCCGGGGCTGAAGGTTGATCTGATGCGCCGCGTACTGAACCGCAAACGGCCACAGAAAATGGGGAGCAGCCGCATGGATCATGGACGTACGAGCGACGTCCATGACCATGCCAATGCGGCGCTCAGCAATCCCATTTTGCTGTGGGGAGGCCGGAAGCGTGAACGTCTGGCGGATGCCCCTCGCACGACAGAAGGCTCGCAGAGGGCCGGAGGAAAACTCTCCACCTCTGTCAGAGTGCAGACGCAGAACAGGAAAGTCCAAGTCGAAACTCTTCCTGAGCTGGAGACGAGCAGCGCGGATCCAGTCGATCAACACCTCAGTGACCTCATCCTTGCGGCGCAAGGGGAAGACTGTGGTGTAACGCAAGTAGTCGTCAACCACCAGCAGGAAGTAACGCTCGTGACCCTGCCCACGGACGCGGGCTGGGCCCCACACGTCCATGTGAAGAGTCTGCAGCGGAGCCTCTGTCGGCGGAAACTCGGAGGAGTGAGGAGCGGCGCGCTGCCGCCCCTCGACGCAGGGAACGCAGGTAGGGGCAGGCCCCGGAGGGAGGGGAGGGAGAGACCGGGGGAGACCAGAGACAAGGACACGAGAGGCCATGCCTCGGAGACGAGGCAGGGAGGGGTGACCAAGGCGGTGGTGCCAGAGAAGAGTCTGGTGGGACAGGAGGCGACACGAGCAGGGGGCAGACTCAGGACCAGACCGAGACGCTGCAGCAAACACCTAACCCAACGCAGCCACCTGACTAGGCACAGCAACCGGAGGAGACTCGGTAGTCAGTGTGTACAGGCTCGACCCCGGCTGACGGGTAAACGTGGCCAAGTGTCGGCCCGTCTGAGCACACGTGCAGTGGGTCACCCGCTGACTCGCAGGAGTGAACTGGTCAACCCCCCCATCCTGTAGGTCAGCTCCTACCACCAAGTTCGTAGAGAATGAGGGGAGGTAAAGACCTGACAGGGAGCCAGACGGGACCGCTGGACACGGTAGCACAGTGGAGTAGTGGGCAAGGACGGGACCCCCAGAGGAGTCTGTCAGGGAGACTGGAACTGGCCGACTAAGCGGCGTGAGGGTGGTGCGGTCTCGAAAGAAGGAGCGGGAAGCACCCGAGTCAAGGGTGAAAGTGTGCAACGCCTGAGCAGACGTGGTACCTGAGAGAGCAGACTCACCAGCACCTGGAGCAGCAGACTCACTAGCACCTGGAGCAGCAGACGCACTAGCACCTAGAGCAGCAGCTGCAATGCCCGGGTCAGGAGGAACACTCAGGTAACAGTCACCCTCATCACTAGTAGACATAACATACATGGCAGCAAGGATAGCATCATAGTCAAGATCAAAGATAGCAACCCCCGACCTAAGCAGATCATGCCAGCGAGGGAGCTCAGTGGCGTCAGGGAACCGGAGACGCCAGGCGTCTGTCAGGCGGCCGAAGCAGCGCTGAGTGGTGTGCGGGCCGCCACACGGCTCCCCAGTGCGGTCACCAGTACGCAGGACGTAGGCACAGGGACCAGCACCCCCAGACCGCTGACGCGCAGCGTACCACTGGTGAAGCTGCTGGGGTGGCGGGGCCTCACGAGAGCGCTGCTGCTGCTGACGCTGGCCACCACCGAAGCCTCCTCGCTGCGCGGAGCCACCCCGACCAGCGCCACCGCCACCGCCGCCACTGCCGCCACCGCCGCCTCCACCACCTCCTCCACTCCCACCGCTGCTGCCGTCGCTGCCTCCGCCTCCACCGCTGCCACCAGTGCCTCAAAGAAAGGGGTATGAGGGTCACCTCGAGAGGCTCCTATAGCGACAATGCTCTTCTCAGCTGCAAGGAGCTCCTTCTCGAGGAGGTCAACGGTGAGAGTGGTAGGGCAGACAGCAAGGAAGTGATCCCTGACCGAGCGAAGGGAGTCAGGGAGCCGGGTGACTAGGTAGTAGAGGGTGATATACATGGGGGGGGGGGTTCTGGGCGCGGAACTCAGCGGGAAGCGCAGCGCGGTAGCGGGTGTCACTAGTCAGAGGTAGCGGTAGCGAGGTGCGTAATGAGGTCAGCGACTGTAGCAAAGGCGGCGAGGTCAGGGAAAAGGTACGGCAGCATGAGGCGACTAAGGGCAGCAGAGGCAGGGGAGGAGTAACACGCAACGACAGCGTCGTACAAGGTCTTAGCAGTCTTGTACTGAGTAAAGTGCGCACGCTCAGCAGACGGCAGGTGACTACGCACAGCAAGACGGGCAGCAGCATCGCGTGTGGTCCATCGTGAGTGAACAGTACTGTCAGCATCGGCGGCAGGGGCAGTAGAGGCACCAGACGTGAGATCGAACAGCGAGAGATTGTCTTTGCTATCACACTGCAGGAAAAGCTGCAGATCATTAAGCCAGAACTCAAAGTCTATCGCACGACCCTCAGCATCGAAGGTAAGAACAGCGGGAGTAGCCATGGTAGCAGCAGTAGCAGGCTAGCAGGAGCAGTAGCAGTAGGAGTGCGGCTCGATTGTGCGCTTACCAGGAGCGGGTGGATAGAAGACCGCAAGTGGCGGGGCAGGACCGAGGTGCGCCGACAGGATCAGGGCCGCGATAGGGCGGCAGGGCAGGGCCGCGGCTCGGCTGCAGGGCAGGTCCGGGACAGCGGCGGCAGCTGCGAAGAACCTCGGCTGTGACGGCAGCGACGGCGGCGGCTGTCACGGCAACGGCAGTGGCGGGTGTCACGGCAGCGGCACCGGCGAACAGCAGCAGCGGCAGCGGAAGCGACGGCAGCTGCTGCTGGGGCGGCGACGAAGGGGCGGCAGGGCGGCAGGGCGGCAAGAGCGTCGCGGAGAGGCCGCGAAGGGGCCGCGAAGGGCCGAGAGGTGGGGGGCCGCGAAGGGCCGCGAAGGGGCCGCGAAGGGGGGCAGCGAAGGGCCTTGAGAGGGCCGCGAATGGGGGCTG